TAATAAAACAAGTATAGGTCATGAGTCATGACTCATGAGAGATTTTCTTTCGACAAGAAATATAACAACCATTTATAAATGAACTTAAACAAGTAAAATTTTCAATTTATTTTGAAAACTAAGAGAAAATTCTTTCATAGAAAACTAAGTTCAGAAAGATTAAAGGGATTGCAAATGCAAAACGACGTTATAAAATATATTGAAAGTTCCGAAAATGAAGCTATAAATTTTTTAATCATCATCAAAAATAGAAGTAAACATTTCAAACTGATTACAATTTTTCATATGGTAGGTTGGCAAAACTGCAGTCACATCAAATAGATTTATAATATTTTTAATCTGGGGGGATTCAAAATACTTGCGCTAAACAAGTATCTGTGCAGATTAAATTTAAAAAATTCAAAGAACAATGGAATTTTTAAAGTTATCTCACGATTTTACAAAATTGATGTGAAAATTATAGACTTCTTTTACATTTTCTTAACAAACATTTGTAGACTGATAATAGATAATTAAAATAAATTGATTTTTAGATCACCTCATTTTTATTAATTTCCCATCTAACGTCGTATATAGTTCAACACCATAGGGTAATGAAAATATGTACACAGATTGTACATAAATATGAGCTACATGTAAATATATTTTGATTTTTAATTAATGAATACATAATGTTTAGATATATAGTTTAATTAAATTAATTACTAATTCAACAAACAATTTTCATGAATAAAGCCTCAACATCAATATCAAATTACGTCAATAGTTAACTCAACACTTTTAATGATGAGCGATTAAGATTGGACGACAGAAAATTGTAAGGAAAATGTATGAAAATTTAAGCCTCCTTCACAGAAATTCAATTTTCGTTGGTCTAATCTTAATTCCTCATACTTGTAATAAATACATAGTTTCTCATCGTCACTTACGAGATATTAGGATTGTTTTGATGATGAATAAATGTTTGATGTTTAGTGGACTGTTTATGTATGAATGAAAGATCTTGTTACTTGTGTTGAATCCAAATGATTTTATTTGAAGGTTACAAT